CCCTTTTAAAGTGGAAAATATAGCAAAACAACAAATATGCCGAGAACTTTGGTAACATTCGCAATACGCGTGACGTCACGTTTTTCAACAAGGATGCAGTCAATGACGTCAGAAGTTTCCAATCCATTTATTTTATTATCCATGCTTACACTGAAATCCTTGGTGTAAATAGTTGACTGTGGTAAAGTTTCTACTGACCTTACAACATCTTAGTTAAAGTGAAGACTTGGGAAGATTTTCAAATCTGTCCAAACGAAATGGTCGGATATCATACGAATGCTTCAAGTCAAATGCAAGTTCACACAAGATCTTGCCGTAAACAGGAGAAAGCTTAAATCCGGCTCCTAAAATTGAAACAATTTGCTCTGTAAATCAATGCGAAAAATAACTCAAAACAACGCATGACTGGATGGCATGGAGAACAGTGAGATTTTCAAAACAATGAAAAGACAATGGAACATTCTGATCACTGGATCATGAAACTGGATGACATGGAGAACAGTGAGATTTTCAAAACAATGAAAAGACAATGGAACACACTCATCACTGGATCATGAAACAGGATGGCATAGAGAACAATGAGATTTTCAAAACAATGAAAAGACAATGGAACATTCTGATCACTGCATCATGAAACTGGATGGCATGGAGAACAATGAGATTTTCAAAACAATGAAAAGACAATGGAACATTCTGATCACTGCATCATGAAACTGGATGGCATAAAGAACAATGAGATTTTCAAAACAATTTAAAGACATTGGAACATTTCAAGCACAGGATTGTGGCTAGATGGCATGGAGAACAGCTACTTCTACAGTAAAACTTCGCAAACGTAAACCTACCAGAAAAACCGACTCCGAGAATAATATTCTTGAAACGAGGATGTTTGTCCAAAATACATGTTCTATCTGGTGTTCGCTGTAAAAAAATCGTTGTCATTAATTCATAAAGTAAACAAAACCCAAAGCAAAGGAATCATGATTGTGAAGCAGTAAGCGAATGTGGTGTCAAAGGGTTCCGAAGGTTGTCGAAGATTTAAAATGGAGGGAGAAATAGAAGTAACTTACATGGCCTTTTCTGTGAAACCTAAAAAATATAAATAATTCTAGTTAAGATCTAGTATTATGCAAGAAAATGAGCCAATGGTTACTGCTAAGACTGGTTTAAATTATCAAAGTTTTTGTGACCACAGTAGGAGGAAACTGACTTTAGTTAGTGTTTAACACATGAGTTAGTTCCCTCAAACCATAGCCTATCGAAGGGAAGATGACTGTGAAACTCATTAAATAACAATATAACTCATTATCTAAAATGTTAGTCAACATTTATTCATAAATCTGGTCCTTCACCGTCACGTGTGTATTGTATTTTTGCCAAATCCACCAATAGCAATTTCCAATTTACCCTATTGTTCGAGTCACAGACAGGTAACTTTCCTAAAACATTGTTTAGTTGGGCAAAAATACAATACGCACGTGACGGTGAAGGACCAATTTATGAATCATAGGCTAATGTCAAACATTCCTTACAAAACTTGCAAAACGTAGAATTTACCGATGCAAAATTCTTATTGTGATCACAGAAACTTTGATAAACCAGGCTTTAGCCAATTTCTTGTATAAAATATTGAAGTGGAGCATACATAGTATAGATGCAGCTTTGAACAATACTTGGCTTGCTCTCCACTCCTTTCAGATGCTGCTTAACAAATTCTGCTGCTGCATCCACTGTCCACGTGACATCTACTTTATCACGTGATTCTGGGTCCACATCTGGTCCATCGTGGTAACACACCTAGCAAGTGAAAGGCTTTGTCAAGCGTTACGTACATTCCCCTGTCTCGCTTTTTTCTTTCGCTCGAAACATCGCAGTTTTCCCTAGTAAACCTTCACACAACCACGTTTAAGCTTCGTCCTTTCTTAGCACCTTCCCCTCCCCCTTAAACAAAAGAGTGAAGATGTTGAGGGACAAACCTTAATCAAATCAGGAAATTCAAAACATGGCGTGCTGTAAATATATCCTTGATGTCCTCTTGAGGTTATGATCTTACTGTACCAAGTTGGGTAGCCATCCTCAGCACTAAATCCATCTTTCTTCACTTTCCAGTAACACACAGTGATGTGCCTTGCCTAAAATGATTCAAAACATACACAGCTGCAGTACTGCAGTTCCAGGAAGTAACCTAGTGTTGTGTTAAGGTTCTCAATGGTTTCAATCTGAATGCATTATAAGTGACTCACCCTTAGTGGTAGACCGACACCCAGTGTCTTCAGTAGAGTCGGTGCCCAAGGTCCTAGAGAAACATAAATTGTCTGTGGTTGTCTACTTGTCTTTAGATAACGTAACCTTTGACAGGAGGTTTTTGGAGGGGGGGGGGGGTTTCTGAAAAAGGAGCTTCTGGGGAAAAGGTTTTATAGAGAGGAGGGCTTTTTGGAGAGAATGGCTTATTGGAGAGGGGGCTTATTGGAGAGGAGCGCTTATTGGAGAGGGGGGGGGGGCTTACTGGAGAGAAGCGCTTATTGGAGAGAAGGGCTTTTTGGAAAAGGGGGCTTATTGGAGAGAAGGGCTTATTGGAGAGGAGGTCTTATTAGAGAGGAGGGCTTATTGGAGAGAAGGGCTTATTGGAGAGAAGGGCTTATTGGAGAGAAGGGCTTATTGGAGAGGGGGGCTTATTGGAGAGAAGGACTTATTGGAGAGGAGGTCTTATTGGAGAGAAGGTCTTATTGGAGAGAAGGGCTTATTGGAGAGGAGGGCTTATTGGAGAGGAGGGCTTATTGGAGAGGAGGGCTTTTTGGAGAGGAGGGCTTATTGGAGAGGAGGGCTTATTG